CGGCCGCACTGCGTGGGCTCCGGGCGACGCAGGCTCCGGGCGGCGAGGGTGGGCGGGGGAGGCCCTGGGGACCGAGGCGGGGCGGCCCCACCTAGGATCCCACCCTTGGTGCTCCGGAGCCTCTGTCAGACCGAGCGCGGCTCCTTTTGAAAAACAGCGGGACGTCCCCAGTAGGTTATTTGCTGAGTCCATCTGCCCCCTGGTGGAACAAAGTAAAATTAAAATTAATTCTAGTTCAGAGTCAGGCCCCTCACAACCAATGTAAACACAAAGAGCCCACGTGGACGCTGTTCTTTCCGGGACCCTGTGCAAGATTTATTTTTCTTAGAGTGTCACCATGTAGTCTAGGCTGGCCTTGAACTCACTATGTAGCCCAGGTGACCCTCAAACTCCAGGTGATCCTCCTGCCTCAGCCTCCCCAGTGCGGGGATGACAAGACATGTTCCTCCTAGGGACACTGTATGATTTCTTTGACCAGGTAGCTCTAGAAGACAGAGATTGAGACTGAAAACATCATTCTTGGGACCTGGTGTGGTGTTGCAAAGCCTATAATTGCAGATACTTGGGAGCCCGTCTACGGTCATATCACCCTAAATGCGCGCGGTCAGATATTTGGGGGCTTGAGGCAGGAGAAAGGCGGGTTCAAGGCCGGGCTAAGCAGCTTAGCAGATCCTGCCTCTGAAGGAAAAATAAGAAGAGATGTAGCAGAGTGTCCCCTGGGCTCAAGCCCCAGTATCGCAGACGCATGCACGAAAACAACCACCATGCTTAGCTGAGCGTGGCGGTGCACCCTGTATGCCCAGTGCTTACGGAGGTCAAAGCGGGAGGATCAGAGTTTGAGCCCAGCCTGGCAATTTAGTGATATGGGGAGGGCGGGAGATGTAGCTCAGTGAAATGAGGGTAGGGACGTCATCATTCTACATGTGGCCTGTTTTGGGACAGTACTCTTGACGCCCTGCTTGGGAGGCTGAGGCGATGGGGATCACAAATTTGAGGCCAGCCTGGGCAATTTAGTGAGATCCTATTTTGATTTTTTGTTTGCTTGCTTGTTTGTTTGTTTTGAGACAGGGTCTCTCTATGTAGTTCAGGATAGCCTAGAACTCATGGTGGTCTTCTTGCTTCAGTTAGCTGGCCTCGAACTCTGTAATTCTCCTGCCTCAGTCTTCCAAGTGCTGGGATTCACAGGGCTGCGCCACCTCTCGAGGCTCTGTTTCTTTGTTTTTTGAGACAGGGTATCCCTGATGCAGTTCAGGCTGGCCTTAAACTCGTGATCTTCTTGCTTCACCTTTCTGAGTGCTGGGACTAACTGTGTGATAAGACTCTGTTTTATTTTTTTAAGACTCTGTTTTAAAAAACAAAGAATCAAGCTGGGTGTAGTGGTCCATGCCTGTAATGCCCAGCACTTGGGAGGCTGAGGCAGGAGGATCATTGAGAGTTCAGTACCACTTTGGGCTACAAAGTGAGCTCAAGGCCAGCCTGAACTGCATAGCGAGACCCTCTCTCAAAAAGACCCAAAATAGGGGCTGGGGGTTTAGCTCAGTGGCACAGCGCCTTCCCAGCAAGCGCAAGGTTGTGAGTTCGATCCCCAGTACTGGAAAAAAAAACAAAAAAAACAAAAAAAAAAAAAAAAGACCCTAAATAAATAAACAATTAAAAAACAAACCAGGGCCGGGGATATAGCTCAGTGGCATAAGCACCTGCCTGGCAAGTGCAAGGTCCTGAGTTTGATTCCCAGTACCAAAAATAAATAAATAAATAAAAATGAAAATGAAAAACACACCAAACCAGTGCCTGTTGGCCTAATTATGCTAGCCTCATTCTGGCCTTGGGTCTCCACTAGTAAGTTTTCCCCTCGACCAGAACACGCATGCTCTCCCTCTGGCTCTCTGCAGGGTCTGCTTTTGTCTTTTCAGATTTCAGCTCAACGGTCACTTTCTCAGTTTCTCCTGACCCATCAGCGGTGTGCTGGAACTGGTCCCCAGTGACTTTTGAGACTAGATTCCCCATATTTCTCTCTCTTTTTGTGTGTGTGTGTTTTGGTACTGGGTTTTGCTCTGCAGTTTAGGTTGGACTTGAACTCACTTTGAAGCCCAGGCTGGCCTCAAACTCGTGGTGATTCTCCTGCCTCAGCCTCCCGAGTGCTGGGATCACAGACATGCGCCCCCACGCCCAGTTGCCAGCTGGATAGTTTGAAAGCAGCCACGGTGGGATACCTACAGCCCTAAATGAACAGAGCCTGCGTGTCAGGGGTTTGCAGTGGAGAGCCGGCAGCCCTAGTCCTCACCGCATGCTCCCGACTAGACTAGAACTCACTCACCCCGCCTCATTCTTTTGCTTTGGAATTCGCCGGGCTTCAGTGCCACGGGGGCCAGCTTCCTTCCTCCTTATGCAAAGCTGCGCTGGAGCCTTTGGCCATCAGGTAGAGCACGATGCTTTGATTTCCATCTTTTCTGATGACGGCAATGCTACCAAGCCCTGGGAAAGCAGGACTGGTGGAAATGCAGGGGGCCAGGAACGCACCAGGCCCGTCTCTCCGCAAGACCGTGCAGCGCACTGCTCAGTAGACACACCACCCACGGGACAGCGCTGCTCTGAGGGAGGAACACAGGAGCACGGGCACACGCACATCCACGTCTGTCATTATCCTGTCATCCTTGTGTGTTTTTTTTTCTACCGGCGGTTGAACCCAGGGTTTTCGTACTGAGTGATATCCTCACTCCTTTTTAAAATTTTTCAAAAATTTGAGACAAAAATATTGAGACAGGGTGTTGTTAAGTTACTAAGTTGTCTAGACTGGGCTCCAACAAATGATGCCGCTCCCCTCCCAGCCGCCCAGAGTGCTGGGCCTACGGGTGTGCGCCCCCGTGCTTGGCTCAGACAGGCATATTTGTGTGTGTGTGTGTGTGTGTGTGTGTGTGTGTGTGTAGGGAACAAACCTGTGTGCACCTGTGGTGTGTGTGTATGTGCGCGTGCATGCAGTGCCAGAGAACAAACCTGGTGCATGATCAGTGAGCTACCTGCCTCGTCCTCTATACATGATTTGTACAGGCTGAGCATCCTTAGTGTGAACATCCCAAATCGGAAATGCCCCCAACTGTGGAACCCCTGGTGCTGACCTGAAGCTCCCAGAAAAGGCTGGTGTGGAAAATTCCTTGCAAGCTATGTGTGTAAGGTGTTTTGGAAACAAATGAATTTCTTTTTTTTTGTTTTTTTTTTTTTCTCCAGTACCAGGAACCGAACTCACGACCTTGCGCTTGCCAGGCAGGCGCTTTGCCGCTGAGCTAAATCCCCAGCCCCTACAAATGAATTTCTTATTTTGTTTGTTTATTTTTTTTCCTTTTTGAGACAGGGTCTTGCTATGCAGTTCAGGCTGGACTTGAGCTCATTTTGTATCCCAGGCTGGGCTCAAACTTGCAATGATCCTCCTGCCTCAGCCTCCCGAGTGCTAGGATTACAGGCATGCACCACTATGCCTGGCTATGAATTTTTTATTTCTTCCAGGAATAAAACTAACTCAAGCCTGTACTCCCAGTACTTGGGAAGCTGAGGCAAGAAAAATCACCAAGATTTGTAGGCCAGTCTGGGCTACTCAGTAGGCCAGCTCTACTGAGAGCTGCAGGCCCTCAGTTCGATTTCCAGTACCAGTGTGGTGGTGTATGCTGGTAATCCCAGCCCAGCTCTCAGGAGGCTGAGGCAGGAGGATCACCATGAGTTCGAGGCCAGCCTCAGCTACATAGTCAGTTCAAGGATAGCCTGAACTGCATAGCGAGACCCTGACTCAAAAACAAATAAAAAAACCAAACAAAAAAGACCCTAAAACTAAAAAGTGTCAACCACATAATTGTGAATTTCAGCATATGTACAGCAATAAAACAATGCACATGGAAAGTGCTGCATAGGTGTTTGATTTTATTACAATTCAGAGGGAAAAGATGGAAGAACATCCGATAAACTACTTAACACTGGGGCCTGGGGATGTAGCTCGGGGTAGAGCACCTGGGTTCTAGCCTCAGTAAGATAAGACAAAGGGAAAACAAAACAAAAGGAAACCTTTATGGTTACTTGGGGTTGAGGAAATACGAGGGAAACTTTAAAAAAATACATACTTACACTCAGAACTGTTAGATATGGGCAAATTAAGTAATTTGAAAAATAGTAAAGTAAAAAAAAATAGTAAAGTGTATCAATAATTGAAAATGAAGCGGGGGGGGCGGGTGAGGGCTGGGGATTTAGCTCAGCGGCATAGCACCTGCTTGGCAAGCGCAAGGTCGTGAGTTCGATTCCCGGTACTGGAAAAAACAAACAAACAAACAAACAAAAATGAAGCCGGGCATGGCTGCGAATGCCATGCCTGTAATCTCAGCTTCTCTGGTGGCTGAGGTAAGAAGATCGCAAGTTCGTGATCAGGTGGAGCAATTTGTGGAAAGCCTGTCTCAAAGTTCAATAAAAAGAGCTCAATAGAGCTTTGTGGTAGAACATTCCTAGGCTCTATTTTTTTTTTTTTTTTTTTTGGTACTGGGAATCGAACTCAGGACCTTGCACTTGCCAGGCAGGCATTTGTGCCACTGAGCTACATCCCCGGCCCCATCCCTGGGTTTTAACCCAGTACTACAAAATAAATTCCGGATATGGCTGGTCCTCCCGGGTATTTTTCTCAGCCACTCCTATTTGTTAGTCTCCAGCCAGCAAATCTAGCATGAGCGGGGCTTGGTGGCACACGCCTGTAATCCCAGCCCTCGGGAGGCTGAGGCAGGAGGGTCACCGCAAATTCCAGGTCAGCCTGGGCTACAAAATGAGTTAAATGCCATCTTGGACTACGTAACAAGACCTCCGTCTCAAACAAACAAACAAAGAAATAAAGTATAGCAATGAGTTTTTATTTATTTATTTATCTGTGGTTTTTTTGAGACAGGGTCTTGTCATGCAGTTCAGGCTGGCCTTGAACTCATTATTGTAACCCAGGCCGGCTTTGAATTTGCGACGATCCTCTCGCTTCAGTCACCACGCCCGGCAGGCGGGAAATGTAAAAATATTCATTCATCTCTTGACAGTGAGTAAACGGTGAACTCAAATCACAATGCGAATTCTCTCAACATGGTGTCACATTTGGGACAGGGAAATAAGACCTTCTCAAAATGGCAGTCTCGGACTCTCTCCATTCCAGACCGACTGGAGGACGACCTTTCCAACATGGAGGCTTTAAAAAATGTACGTCATTTCCGGGCGCGTGCCCTATATAAGACACAGGATTTCCGCTTTCGCTCCTTTCCGGCGGTGACGACCTCCCCACGAGAACATGCCTGTAAGTTGCTTGGCCCCGGTTAGGGCGGAGATCTCGCTCTTCTGTGCTCACGCTCCCCTCGCGCCGGTCTCAGACCGTGGCGGTCCTCATTTATCCTTCGTGCATGCGTGCCAGGACCTTAACTCCAGGGAGCGCAGCGGCCCTGGGCCCCACGTAGCGGGGAGCGCGGCGGGGCTAAGATGGCGGGCCGGCTGCGCAGATGCGATTCGCCCGGGTGTGGGTCCGCGAGGCTGCTCTCGGCCGGCCCCTTCGCGCCGTTCTGCTCTGAATCTCTCCCTTTTCGCTCCTCTTAGCTCGCAAAAGATCTCCTTCACCCCTCCCCGGAGGAGGAGAAGAGGAAGCACAAGAAGAAGCGCCTGGTGCAGAGCCCCAATTCCTACTTCATGGACGTGAAGTGCCCGGGTGAGCGGAGGCGCCGCGGCGGGGGTCGCGCGCGCCCAGCTTCCCCGTCCGTGAAAGGGATGTGGTCGCTGATTTTCCTAAGATGCCCATTAGGAAACGGGTGCAGTTTCCCACGGTAGGAGCGACTGAATCGAGGGGTCGCCCGTGAAAGAAACGTGCACGTGTAGACGGAAAGCACATTTACTTTGAGATACGGTCTGGCAAGGTTGCCTAGGTGATAGATTTCAGCCCTTCCGCCACCGCGGTGCTGAGATCACAGGCGTGTGTCACCGTGGGCTGCTGACCCGTTGGTTTATTTTTTCCCCCCCAGGATGCTATAAAATCACCACGGTTTTCAGCCATGCACAGACGGTAGTCCTGTGTGTTGGCTGCTCCACTGTCCTCTGCCAGCCGACAGGAGGAAAAGCAAGGCTCACAGAGGGTAAGTGGCATAACCAGCGTCGCGGGTTTTGGCTTTGTAGCTTAGAGCGATCCTGTATCATGTCAAGAGAAGAAAAGCTCTTACTAGGCGCGGTGGCACCCGCCTGTAACCCCAGAACTGAGGCAAGAGTGTGTTTGGGGCCAGCCTGGACTGCATGCGTAGCGGGACTCTGGCATAAAAACAAAACAAACCCTCAACTCTTAAATTGGTCCTTGTATCAGAAGAACAAGACTGCTTCCTGACAGTTATTAACATGTTTTATTCTCCAGAGAACATACTGTGAGTTTTCAAAATTTTTTTGAGATGTGTAACCTTTCGATTTTTTCTTTTTTTTTTTTTTCTTTTTTAAATAAAAGTTACCTAATGTAAAACTTTGAGACTGCTTTGTAAAGGGTTGGGTTCCATGGGCTTCAAGTAAAGCATTACTAGACACCATACATGAATCTCAGAGCACTGCGTTTAAAGCAGGGATTGATGGGTTCCGCTAAAAGGGTGTCATAGGGGGAAACTGACATGAAGTAACTGATGGAATGACAGGAGGTACCAGGAGAAGCTCACCGGGTGATCACCAGGCAGCCCCCAGTTTCTGCAGGTGGGGCAGTGGGTAGGGGAGGTGGGGGTGGTGTCAGGTAACACTCAGTTCCTTTCTTCCAGGATGTTCCTTCAGGAGGAAGCAGCACTAACAGTACCCTGAATCAAGATGAATGGGAAGTCATCCCAATAAACACATTTTGGATATATCCTGTTTATTGTCTTGTTTAACTGCTAGAAAGTTCCTACCTCCAGTATTCAGGGGCGACCAGAGAGTGGAATAGTAAGTGTGTAAATGTGGGGCAAGTAAGTGTGTAAATGGGAGTTTACTCTGACTTCTGTTTTCTTAGTGATAAGAATTGATAGTATTGCTGGTTATGGTGGCACATGCCTGTAATCCTAGCACCCGGGAAGCTGAGGCAGGAGGATCATTGCAAGTTAGAGACCAGCCTGGGCCACAAAGTGAGCTCAAGGCCAGCCTTAACTGCATAGCAAGACCCTGTCTCAAAAAGACCATGAAAAAAAAAGAATTGATAGTATTTACAACAGAGTCTAACACCACTTTTATTAAAACAGCTTAAAACCCTTTGATTGTACTTTTCCGGAGCCTTGTTTCAGAGGCTTAGTGTAGAGAATGTGGCTGGACTTGGTGTGTCAGGCTGGGAATCTTCATTCCCCGACAGTTCGGGGCACTCACTCCACACACAGGTTAGTGCCTTGCACTCCATACCCAACGAGGAAGCGAGCTCCAGGGGACTGGGGCTTGTGGGTTGGTGAAGGGAGAGGGAGAATTTGTGGAGGTATAAAGACCTAGAAGGAGAGGGAGAAGGGAGATGATTGAAGGCTGACGTTAAACATGACTATCTGAGCTTAAAGTGGGACGGTGGTGGTTTTCTTTCTGTTTGAACAGTTTAAATGAAAGGCCACATAGTGACTTGCATTTATTTTGATAAATCTTTCCCCCATAGTGATTTAGAGGATCTTCAAGCCTGTATAAATATCCAAGCCATTTGGATATACACTTGCGCAATAGCTCTGCAAAATCTTTCGGCAAAGCAAGAACGAAGAGTAAAGATCTGACACAGTTAACTAGGTACAATGAGAATCTCCGAATACTTGTTTAAGGAGGGCCTAGAATACGTAGCCACTAACTAGGTGCTGAGTGGCAGAGCTACATCCCTGCTTTGTGCCATGACTTCAAAGGGAATAGGTTCCAGCAACTCGGGTTCCTTCCCATTGGTGCTCACAAAGTGCACTTCCCTGGGCGGGGCAGGCTGGCACTTCAGTTGAACCTGCACACCTTTCTCTTTGGTGTGTGGTGGTGGGGACTGAACCCAGGGCCTTGCATATGGAAGGCAAGAGCACTACAACTGAGCCACATCCCCAGCCCTGGCTTTGATTGATATGCTCACTAAGCACATTAAACCTCTTGACAAAGTATCTTGCCCTTGCTTGTTTATAACAGTGCCAGCAGCATGCTGGGTAACATTGCAGACTTCAGTTTTGCCATGGTAACATTTTTTTGTTTTGTTTTTTTCGGTACCAGGAATTGAACTCACGACCTTGCGCTTGCCAAGCAGGCGCTGTGCTGCTGAGCTAAATCCCCAACCCCACCATGGTAACATTTGTGTGGGGTACCTTTTTGAACAGTGCTCATACCCTTGACTACCTGCTTTGTAGATTGACATGTATGTGGCTGAAGACCAACCCTATGTTTTCTGAAAGGTCTAGAGAACTTACACTAGGTTCCCCTCCTCTTTCCCTCTGTGTCATTTTGGCAAATTACTGGAAGGTGGCAGTTCTGGCCAAAAGGGGACAGTGGTTCTTTACCTGGCTGTGGTGTCCTTACAGTTGGTACATAAACAACTGGAACGGTCTGTATCTTGTTTATGAAAGCATTGTACGCTAGAAGGAAGAGGTCACAAAAAGGCTTATGTGATACTCAACCGAAGGCCTTTGATGAACGAGTCTCTTTAAGCATTGGTGTGAAAAGTAATACCTCAGATTAGTCTGCCCTGTACCAATGGATTTAATCAACTAAGGATTAAAAACTCAGCAATGATGCATCCTTACTGAATGTGTAGACTTTTTTGCCTTGCCATTTCCTGAATAACTATATGACTATTAACAGTCCATATTAGGCATTATAAGTAATGTAGAGATGATTTAAAATATATGGGAGGATATAGGGAGATGGGAAATACACACCATTTTATACCAGGTGCTTGAGCTAGTTTTGGGGTATCCTGGAACCATCCCTCACAGACAGTGGAGGACAATTACAACCTCATAACCTGTTACACTGTTAGAAAAAATTACTTAACCCACTTAAGTATCTTAGCATTTCACTAAAAGATGGGAGAATGCAGGTGAAGACAGTAGTGATGTGTTGTTGACTTGGGACATCTCTAGCCATGAACTGGAGCAAAAGTAGCTTTATATTGGTAGTTTTTTGAGATAGGCTGAGAGTTCAGGCTGGCCTTGGACTCGCAATCCCTGACTCAGTGGCCTGAGTGCTGGTATTACAGGCATGTGCTACCACGCCTGGCCAAAAGCAGCTTTTATCTCTAGGTGAGTGATTTCCATTTGAGTAGTGTCTCACAGTTTGCGCGTCCGTTTATTGCTTCTTGGCAGTGAGCTGAAGAGGACCTTTAATCTAGGTGATTGGGCTAGGAGGCTAACTCAGGTATTCATTTTCATCCCTACTTGGCTTGTGACATAGTCAAAGTCTACAGTGCGGAATATAAGGATGCCTTACCTAGGAAGATGAAAGCTGTGGATGCCAGCACCACAAAGAAGGTAAAGAAGATCTGGTGAGAACCAATCAGTTGCTTGAAGACACCTGCATCTTCGTATTTATCTGTATATTGGCCATAACAAGACAGTGGTTATTTATTTTTATTTTTTGGTGTTTTGAGACAGTGTTGCTGTGTAGTCCAGGCTGGCCTTGAATTTGTGGCAGTCCTACCTTGGCCTCTCCAGTGCTGGGACTATAGTTATGTACCACTATACAGTGGTTAATAACATGGCAGAGGCTGTCTTTGAAAATTTGGTGGGTCACAAAAGTAACTAGCAGCAGTGCTTCAAACCCACACTTTTTTGGGGGTGGGGAGACGGGGTTCTCACTATGTAGCCTACCCTGGCCGTGAGCTCATGGTGATCTTTTTGCTTCAGCCTCCCAAGTGCTGGAATTAATGCAATGCAACTACCATGCTTGGCTAAAATCTTAAAATTTTTGAAGCTATTAGTCCACTCAGGTTACAAAAGTTGCTTGTTGCCTTAAAATGGATATATCTTTCTTTTTTTGGTTTTCTTCCGGTACCAGGAATTGAACTCACGACCTTGAGCTTGCCAGGCAAGCGCTTTGCCACGGAGCTAAATCCCCAGCCCTTAAAATGGTTATATCTTTCTCGTGCCCCTTTCTGGGGTGGCAGGTGGGTTTTGAGATAGGATCTTGCTATGCAGTTCAGGGTGGTCTCCACTCAAGTTGATCCTCCTGCCTCAGTCTTGTGTCCTTGAATAGCCCCACGTGACATTTCCCCTTCATCAAATTCGTGAGTGTATGTCGATTTACAGTTCTACATCACTTTAACTTGAAACTTTACATCACCAGTGGCCTCTTAATGTAGCCACCTCTTGTCCTACTCAGGATGTCATTTCTAGGGAATGTTCCCACTTGCAGCTAACTAATAAAATTTTATACTTAACATTTGGCATCTGCATTTGGTTATTTCAGGTTCTTAGTCTATTCCACCAAACGGCCTCAATTTCAGGCCTCCTAGTAAGTTGCTTACTATATCCTCATAACTAGTTGGTGTTCTGTACCCTCTGGGTTCCCAGCCAGGTTTACTTTTACCATATTCTGTCATGCTGTTTGTAAACTGCTTCACTGAAGAATTTGAGATTTTATACTGCACTAATTCCTGTCTTCCCAACCTGGCCCTCTCTTGGTGGTGGTTTTTTTTTTTTTTTTTGAGACAGGATCTCGGATGGCTGGGAATTTAGCTCAGTGGCCCAGCGCCTGCCAGGCAAGCATGAGGTCATGAGTTTGATTCCCCGGTACTGGGAAAAAAAAAACAAAAACAAAGGATCTTGCTGTGTTAGTTCATGCTGGCCTTGAACTCACTCGGTAGCCCAGGCTAGCCTCGAACTCGTGGCAGTCTTTTCCTGCCTCAGTCTCTACCACCATGCCTAGCTGTCTTGGTGTTTTTGAGACAAGGTCTCACTATATGGTTTAGCTGGCCTCAAACTTGCGGCGGTCCTCCTGCCATAGGTGTGTGCCATGATGCCTGGCTGGTCCTGTCTTTAGTTTTTTGAGATGCTTTGTGTCCAGACTGATCTTGAACTCACTATACAGTTCACGCAGGCCTCGAACTCATGGCAGTCCTTTTGCCTCAGCCTCCCAGGTGCTGGGATTACAGGCGTGCGCCACCACGCCCAATTTGGTCCTGTGTTAAATCTCTGCAGTGTGGTGCATGCCTGATATCAGTAAGTATCCAGGTGCTGTGTGAATTGAGCTGAAGATCTGGTTGGATATTTGGATCTAGCTGCTCCCACTTACCAAGGCTGCACTGTTCCCACTGGTCCCTTTTATTCCCAAGACAAGTGTCAGGCAGTTTGAATGCCAGTGGTAGTTTTGCCTTAGAATAGTGTCAAAGCACAGCCAGTTGTACACCCCTGTGATCCCACTGAAACAGGAAGACCTCAAGAGAAAGGCCAGTCTGGGCCATTTAGTCCGACAACTGGAGCTTGCTGGGTGTGGTGGCCTGTAATCCCAGCTACTCAGGAGTCTGGGGCAGAACGATCACAGGTTCCAGGCCAACTTACCCAGTTGAGTAGATAGGTCTCCAAATAAAATTTTAGGGCTAGGGGTGTAGCTCATTGGTCTCTGGGTTCCAGCCCCACTGTCACACGTGAGAACAAGCATCATTCTTAGCTGAGCACAATCCCAGCATTCTGGGAGGCAGAGACAGGATTGAAGTTTGAGCCCAGTTCGGTCAGTTTAGCAATTTAGGGGGAACCTGTCTCAAAAAACGGGTTGGGGTCGGGCATGGTGGCACATGCCTGTAATCCCAGCACTCAGGAGGCCAGCCTGGGGTATGTAGTGAGTTCGAGGCTACCTTGAGCTACACAGGGAGATCCTGTCTCAAAAAAAAAAAAAAAAAGTTGAAAACAGCTCAGCCTGAAGGCCCTGGGTTCCATCTCCAGTCCCTAAATAAGCAAGCAGGCTGGCTTTAGTGTATGTGTATGTGTGAATGTTCCTCAAGTTCTGAGAACTGAAACAAAGCTAGTAAGTGTGTTTAGGGTATTTATCAGTACATACCAGCTGCTCACAAAGACAGAAAAAACCTTTCCCATTACATACACTAGCGTTCCACCCAATTCATTCCCAGTAATTAAGAGAAGTATTTCTGCCGGGCGTGGTGGCACACATCTGTAATCCCAGCACTGTGGAGGCTGAGACAGGAGAAACATTGCGAATTCAAGACCATTCAAAGTGAGCTCGGGGCTGGGGATTTAGCTCAGCGGCAAAAGCGCCTGCTTGGCAAGCGCAAGGTCGTGAGTTCGGTTCCCGGTACTGGAGAAAAACCAAAAAAAAACAAAAAACAAAAAACAAAAACAAAGTGAGCTCAAGGCCAGCCTGAACTGCACAGGGAGACCCTGTCTCAGAAAGACCAAAAATAAACAAATAAAAATGGTTAATGCCTGGAATCAAGACTTCGCAAAACTAAGTCTTGTTGTAGTGTTCACATTTGTCGATGGCCTGATAAGGAAAGTTAGGCTGAATTTGTCATGTTTTGTTTTGAGACAGGGTCTCGGTATGTGTTCCTGGCTGACCTTGAATGTACCGTGTAACCCAGACTGGCCTGAAACCTGTGGTGATTCTCCTGCCTCATAGCCTCCCAAGTGCTCTAGGATTACAATTGTGCCACATCTGGCTTTAAAAAAAAAAAAAAAATAGCGTTTATTTATTTATTTTTTTGCGGTACCAAGGATCAGACTCACGACCTTGCGCTTGCCAGGCAGGCGCTTATGCCACTGAGCTATATCCCTGGCCCAAAAATAGCATTTAAAAAAAAGGGTCTTGATGTGTGGTCTAGGCTGGCTTCCAACTTCCAGTCTCATCCTCCCTAGTGCTGGTGAGACGATATATACTGAGCTCACGGTTCTGCAAACATCAAAGAACGAAGTTACAACTCAGGTGTAGTGGCAACCACCTGTCATCCCAGCATTTAGTAAGCTGAGGCAGGAAGATTGCTGAGAATTAGAGGCTCACCCGAGCTACACGGTGAGCTCAAGGCCAGCCTGAACTCTAAAGCAAGAATGAGACCCTGCCTCAAAAAAAAAGATTGTCTCTGCCTCACTCATAAGCTAACTAAATAAATACTTTTCTACACTGGGATTACAGGTGAGAGAGTACCACTATGCCTGGGCTGATAAATACTTTTGAAGAAAATAAAACATTTGTTTAGAAATGTAGCATATGGTAAATAGTGTACTTACAAAGATGACAAACTCATGTTAAACGTGTTCTTTTTTTTTCTTTTTCTTTTTGAGACAGCATTTCACTACGCAGTTCACTTTGTAGCCCAGACTGGCTTTGAATTTTTATTGATCCTCCTGCCTCAGCCTCCCAAGTGCTGGGATTACAGGCCTGTGCCACCAGACCTGGCTACTTTTCTTTTTTCTTTCTCTTTTTTTTTTTTTTTTGGTGGGGGCGGGGTGGGGGTGGGGAATGACAAGTTTTCACTATGCAGTTTGTAGCCCAGGCTCGAACTCATGGCAATCCTCCTATCCCAGCCTCCTAAGTCCCGAGATTACAGGCGTTTGCCACCATGCTTGGCTACACTAACTTTATTTAACTTGCTTTTTTTTGTTTGTTTGTTTTTCCGGTACCGCAGATCGAACTCACAACCTTGCGCTTGCCAGGCAGGTGCTGTGCCGCTGAGCTAAATCCCCAGCCCACTGACTTTATTTAAAAGTATGAAGTTTACCTAGTGATAGGAAAGCTACCTAAGCGTTCTAATAGTCTTCCAAGATAGAGATACTTCAAGCAATCTTAGTCAAGTGGCCGAATGTTTCCCATTGACAAAATAGTGAATAATACATTCTGTCTCCTTTCCCCCTGGAGGTTAAAACTAGAAGTCCCCGGTGCTCACCTGCATTAGAGTCACCTCTCGTAGCTCTCACCACCACAGCCTCACTCTGACTGGTAAGTGCGCAGGAGATGTTAATGAACACAGGGGAGGCCATCTGCTGGAAGGCAGTGAAGTTGGCTACCCGGACGGTGTAGGTAGCCAGGCCAGGGGAGTGTCGGTGATCAGAGAGCACCAGAACCGGGGAGCTGGGGAAGACCTGCGAGAGAGAAGATCAGTGAACAGTGTGTTCCAGTCTCAGGCTCAGGAATTGTCCAGATCTGGATTTCTCAGCAGCCGGTGGACACTAGACCACTGGCTTTTTACTCCAGAGGTATTGAAGGGCCTGGAGAAAATGAGCTGTGAGACTAAAATAGACTTCACAGGCAAGCAAAGTGAGAGACACTTCTCAGAAGTAGTACAAATGGCCGATAAATACATGACAAAAATGGAAAAATGCAATTGAAAACAACACCGAGGTACCATCTTACTTCGGAAAGAATAGCCATCATCAGGAAATCAATAAATGCTGGCGAGCTGTGGGGAAAAAAGAACCCTTGTACACAGTTAGTGGGAGCGTAAACTAGTACAACCACTGCGGAAATCAGTCTGGGGATTCCTCAAAAAACTAAAACTAGAAATTCCATCCAATCCA